GTTTATGTTTATATTGTGTGATCATCACCAGGCTATACTGGTTCTCATTCCATCCAATAAACTGCCCTTTGCATGCCAAGATCCATAAATATGGTGTTCTTTCTCTTGCTTCTATCCTCAAACTGATCAAAATAATTTTCTTAAATTATTAAAAAAATTTTAAATATCATCTAAAGGTTTGGTCCAGTGGTTTGCTTCCTTTTCATTCAACGGTGCACATTATAATTCTTTTTTTTATTATTTCAAAATATTACTGGGGAACAAATGTTTCTGGTTAGATGGCTCACTTTTATAATGCTGGAGTTAGGTGTACCAACCCCCAAAGAGTGTTCATTTGACCTGTGATGTAGGTTTTTGCCCATCCTTTTCTCTACCCCAGCCCTTGCTTGATTTCCACTGAGCTTTATTTCCCTCTGTGTATGTGTGCTCATTGTGAGCACATGTGTTTTCTTTCTTTTCCATGCCTTAGATTTCACTAAGGATAATGGTCTCCAGTTCTATCCAAATTGTAGTAAAAGGCCTTAATCCATGCCTCTTCATGGCTGAGTAGTACTCCATACATATATATATACTTTTTTTTTAGGTTTTTTTTTTCATATACATTTTGTTAATCCACTCATGAACTGATGGGGAATTAGGCTGATTCCCACTCTTTGCAATTGTGAATTTTGCTGCAATAAACATTTGAGTGCAGGCATCTTTTTGATAAAATGATTTATTTTCCTTTGGGTAGATATCTAGCATGCTTTGGCTGCATTAAACTGTCAGTAGGTCTCCTTTTAGTTTTTTGAGGTATCTGTATCATTTTCCACAGAAGTGGTACTAATTTGCAGTGGATAAGGGTTAATGTTCCTTTCTCTCTGCATTCACTCCAGCATCTCATTTGTTTTTGGAGTTGTTAATAAAAGCCTTTCTAACTTGGGTATAGTAATACCTCATTGAGGTTTTAATTTGCATTTCCTTGGTGATTAAGGACATCGAGCAGTTTTTCGTATGTTTATTGCCTGTCTGTCTGTCTTTTTTGAAAATACTCTGTTCAGGTCTTTTGCTCACTTTATCATAGGGCTGTTTTATTTCTTGCTGATTTGCTTGAGTTCTTTGTAAATTCTACTAATTAGCACTTTATCAGATGTACACGTACGTATAGCTTGCAAATATTTCCTTCCATTCTGTAGGTTGCCTGTATGCTCTGTTGATTATTTCCTTGACTATGCAGAAGCTTTTTAATTCAATCAAGCTTCCTTTATTTATGTTGTTGTTGCTGTGATTGCCATTGAGGTCATCTTTGTAAATTCTTTGCCTACCTTTGCTATCTGGAAGTTATTCCATCTTTTTCTTCTAGAATTCTTACGGTTTTATGTTTGTATATTTAAGTCTTGTATCTATCTTGAGTTAATTTTTGTGAGTGGTGAGAGATATGGATCTTGTTTTATTCTTCTACATATGGCTGATTTTCCCAGCACCATTTCTTAAATAGAGATTCTTTTCTCCAGTGTATAATGTTGTTTCTTTTGTCAAAGATTGGTTGGCTGGTTTGATATCTGGGTTCTCTGGCTGTTCCTTTGGTTTATTTCTCTTTTTTCTATGTCACTACCATGTTGTTTTGTTTATTATATCCTTAGAGTTTGCTTTAAAATGTGATAATGTAATGCCTCCATCTTTGTTTTTTCTGCTTAACATTTCTTTGGCTATTCAGGCTCTTTTCTGGTTCCAATTTTTTAGAACCAGATCTGTGAAATATGACATTGGTATTTTGATAGGGGTTGCATTGACTCTGTAAATCACTTTGGGTAGTATGGACATTTTAACAATGTTGATTCTGTCAATTCATAAGCATGATATGTTTTTCTATTTGCTTGTGTCATGGCAATTTCTTTCCTCAGTGTTTTGTTGTTTTTGTTGAACAACTTTATTATTATTATTTTTCTTCTTGTTGTTGTAGTTTGGCCAGGGCTGGGTTCAAACCTGCCACCCTTGGTATATGGGGCCGGCACCCTACTCACTGAGCCACAGGCACTGCCTTCCTCAGTGTTTTGTACTTCTCTTGGTAAAGATGTTTCACCTTCTTCGTTAAGTATATTCCTAGGGTTGTTTTTCTTTCTTGCAGCTATTGTTTGGGTGGGGCTCCCCCTACACATGTGAGGTTGTGTCTTCAGCATATGTTGAGTAAGAACATATGGCTTTCCCTGTGGGTGCTTTGAGGGTGATCTCAGCTCTGTATGGAGACCTTGGCTGTATTAATTGATATCCAGTGTGGTCGTTTGCTCAGTGTCTGTGTTTGTAGTCTGTAGAGGTGGCAAGCTATGTGTGGGGGAATATTCCCTTTCTCTCTTTGATGAGGAAGAATGGAGTTCTTTGAAATCTTTTTTCTTACCCCAGTCCTGCGGTCTTCCTAGAAGTGTGAATTGTATTGGCACATCCAGTTTAATCTCTGAGAGAGTAGGTCGTGTTTGTGGATAAGACGCAACTATACCTTGTATGATTGAGTCAGAACATGTAAGGAACTGCACAAATTGGCATTAATCTCAATAGGTGGTTCTGCCAGAATGAACAATCTACAGTATTGCTTTTGGGACATGTAGCCAGTTATTGTCCCTTAAGACAAGCACTGGAATGCCCCAGGTCATGGATGGGGCCCTGGAACTACAAGGTGAGTCCTTATTCTTTCCCACCATAGGGGCATGTGAGGGAATTAGGTGGGGCAGGGCTGGGTGTGGTGGGCTTGCTTTCTGGATGGCTCCTCTCAGGCTCCGGGGAATACCCACCAAGGAGGGGTGGTCCCACTTAGCCAGAAAGTCTGTTGGGAGCGGACTGCTGAAGTTCACAATCTGGCTGTCAGGAGCAGGCTTCGCTCTTCTCTGGCCTCCCTGCTCTGTGGTTTCCCCCTGGTGTCTGCCAGTAGGTAGGAGCTTGAACTAGCTGAGTTCCCCAATGATAGTCCTGCAGGCTGGGAGCTTTCCTGCCCAGGCTCATGCCCTGGGCTGACAACCTGGCCTTCATACTGGGGGAGAGGTGCTTGTGGGTACACCATGGCTGGGGCCTACCTTGCACTATCTTTTCAATTTTCTGACATGGGCTTCCTTATCTCTCAAAATTAGTTCACAAACCTTCCCACCATTCCATTCTCTTGAGCAACATAATCAAGTCCTGTGGGTACAGGATGAGCCTTTCTCCTGGTCCCTGAAGATCATTCTCTGACTGTGTCAGGGACAAGGTCCATCTCATAGGTCAGAGATGGCTGTGGGGTGCTCAAGCAAGTGTAAGGTCTCTCCTTTTCAGGATGTGCCCTGTTCTCTTGGAGCAGCTGGGCAAGCAGCCCTGGGGAGGCCTAGTGAGCAGAGAGCTCACAGTCCACACATCCCTTCATCTGCTGCTGGTCATTCAGAGGAAAGGTTTGAGCCCTTCCCTCTCTCTGTGGAAACCTTGGTGTGGTGGATTCACCAGTGGAGGGGAAACAGCAGACCCTCAAGACTCCAATTCAATTGTCTCTCTTGGCAAAGGGGTGAGGGGAAGGAGTAGAAAAGACTCTGAACTGAGTGCTCCTGGTCATCTCTGTCTCTTTTTCCAGAAAGCAGCCCCTGCCCAGACTATCCAGGCTCTGCAGTCATGCAGATCGCCCAGGACTCACTGGCCCCTTGTGGTTCCTGCTGTCTAGACTGGAATTAGGAAACATTTATGTGGAAAAGAGCAATATGAAAACTGAGGGGCATAAGTCTCCTGGGAAGTCATAGTGCCTGCAGGTGGAGAAGGAAATGGTGCTTGTTGTCTCTGCTCCTCAGGTCTGTGGGGATGGGAAGTGCCCCAGCAGGACTGGCAGACTGGTCTTTTGTCCTCAAGATACTCCCTGTTCAATGGTGACAGTAGCTTTTCAGTTTGTGAGGGTAGAATGTCCAGACATGTGAGGTAGGAAAAATAAAACCTTCACTTGCCCTTTTCCCTGGCCTCCAAGCCTCTGGGGGGCGGGGAGTGACCTCTATCATTTCTCCTTCTTTTTCTGCTTTGCAATTCCTTCCTGTGGAATCTCTTTGTTGCTTCTGTCACTTTTCCTTGGAATTATACTAAAGGTATTTTGTTTGCTTGTTTTTTCTTTTTCCTCTAAAACTTTTCTTCTTTCTAAGAGGATCTGGTCGGTCATCATGTCTCCTCTCCCACATGCAAATATCATTTGCTTTTTGAGTCCAAATGTGGCTCAAAGCTTTCATCACAAATATTTGATGATATGAGAGGATGTTAGGGAATGTGAAAAGTGACAAGAAAGGAAAGAGAGAAGTTAGGCATGTAATGTTCTAATCCATGAATCTTTATTTCATCCTGTGTCTATTATCTTTGTGATATGCACCCAAGTGAACAAATTACACAGATTTTAAAATAAGTAAATGATAAATTATAACTAGAAACTGAAATTAACACTGATAAAAATAATTTAAAACATGTATAGGACAAACTCATAGTAAGCTTATTAAAGAAATAATTCTTTGGGAAAATATTAATATTTAAGTGTAAATTTATTTTTATGTATGCTTCCCTCTCTTAGGAAAGATTATAACAAAAGCTATATGTTCAATAAGCACTGATTGACTGAATGAATGGATGAATCAACTAGAGCTAAGTGTAAATGAATCTTACAACTAAAATTAATAGAATGGCATCACCTTAACTTGAGCTACAAGCATAAACAAGAATTCTTTTCAATAGTAACTTTTCACAGCATATAAAATAAAAATGATTCAACGCTATAGCTTTGTATCCAAAGATTCTCATAATATGAATCCCATTCTATGTAAATCTTTCATCATTCTTTCTTTGCTAGTGTCTAAGTCAGCTTTTCTCACTTAGGTATGTTTTGTGTTATTCAACCTTTAAACCTTTGCTTATTCTTATCACTTTCTTTCCATCCACTTTTCACTCCTATTCATTATTTCAGAATAGGAATTCATTATTTCAGAATATTTATTATTTTGTGTGTGCATGCCTGCACGTGTGTGTATATTATTAACACATATGTGTGTATATGTATGTATATGTGGAGTGGGTATTATATACCAAGGCTAACATTTTTACATATATAATATAGTGAGAAAGGAATCAATAGCAGTTGAATACATATGAGAGAAAGAAGGGAAGAACTGACAGAGGAAGATTTTTAACAATTTGGAAGAAATTGAGATCAGATGTATATGAGGGATGATTAGCTTTTCAGAGTTGAAGTACCATGTTTCTTTCAACTTAGACTAATGGGCGTTGATAGGGATTGGAGAAGATATAAAGATCATTACCTTAGGAAAAGGATTTTTACTACATTAACTTTGAGAAATTAAATTTTTGCTTTTTTCCATGAAGTATGTGGAACAGATCTTCTTAGAATGAGGAAAGCACAGATAAACTTAGATATTCTGTTGCCATTGAAAATATCTGGGAAGTATTAGCTAATATCTCATGGGTAGTTCAGGTTGAATATATCAGAAAGGAATTAGAAATTTTCCCCTATAAATATTCCATTCTGCTTCATGACTTCAGTTTCTAGGTAGTCAAATCAAAAAATTATCATAAGCCATTCCTTTTTTTCTCATGCCCCCATCTAATTCATCTTTAGATCTTACATCCTTCTTAATTTGGACCTGTTCTTATGTTTTCAACCCTCTCTGCTATCTAGACTCTCAACTCCACTATAATTATTGCTGCCAAACCCTAGTTTACCATCCTCTCACTTTGTATCCAAGGTTTTTATCTGGATATTATACCAAACACTCTTTCTTTGTTAGAGGAATTGTGGGAACAGCTTAGACCTCTTAACACTTTAGACCTCTCTTTGAAACATGTTGACATGACAATCACTTAGTTTTGAATTTGTGTACTTTGCAGACTATTTTTCATCTTTTATGCTTAGCCTTCAGCCATGGTAAAACCATCAAAACAGACATTAAATAAACAAAACAAATGTGTTTTTCAGACCTAAGTTGAGGAGTACGTATCTGAATACATGTTATTCTACAAAGTACAGTGCCCAGTATACAGTGAGTGATCAGTAAACATTTGTGAAATTAATGAAAATGTCACCCTAAATATGAAGGATATGAGACAAAGCAATTTCCTTTCTTAAAGTATTATACAGTGTACTGGAATCATGCTGCTGAAGTGTTAGCAGGGAGACATGTTCTTTTCAGTAACTCTGCTGGGTTGAAACTTTTTACCACGCTAACTAGTGGGCTCCATTAGTTCTCAAATCCTATAACCATTGTGTCACAGTAAATCCATTCTTCATCTTCAGTTGCTGCCTCCACACCAGGCCGCACTTAGACAGAGTGGTGAGGGAGAACCTCCTCTGCTCCCCCAACAAGCATCTGCCCCCACCCGGCCTCTCCAAAGGCGTTTCTTGCGTTTCTTGGTTGAGTCATGGACAGGTTTTTCCGCAGTCTATGCTCAAGAATTGCTGTAATGTGGAAAGTGTTACAGCTCAAAGGAAAAGGTTGGACTCAAAGAGTGGGCTGCAGAGCCAATTTGCTTCAGTAAGAGCCAGAGAGCTTCTATAGAGCCACCCACGGGGACCCAGGAGAAGGGTGAGGATGAAAGGTGAAGGTGCAGGAATATACCCTGACATTTGCCCTGCCCCAGTCTCCACTGGCCAATGAGGTCTGTTTATTTTCAGTCCTCCTCATTATTGGTTGCTTCTTCAATCCTCTGTCTAATTGGTTCTTGACCCTGGGGAAAGTCCGAGGGGAAGTCCCCAGGCCCAGCGAGAAGTCCTGTATCCACCTATCCTCCCCACCCCCCAACATTGTGACCCACAGAGGGATAGTTCAGTGCATGACCGTGAAGCCGCCTGTTCTTGCTTGTCCTGACTGGGCATGTGGCTGGTGAACCTCACTCTACAGAACCCCCCTCAGCTCTGCGGCTGTGGACTGAGTTCTGAGTTCTGTTGTGACTCCTCGCTGCCTTCCTGGTGACAGCCACCATCCTCCTTCTCCGTATGTATCTCCAAATAGTTTCCCTCCACGCTTTGGGGATACTCACCAAGCCATAGGTTTTTGCTTTCATTGACTTTTTGGGAACAACAACCTGAGAGACTTATCCTTACCCTCTTGCCTTGGGCTCACCACTATTTCCTCTCAATTCCTGAAACATAAGAAAACCAGAAATTAAATTGTCTAATAAAATAAAGAGGGAAATCATAACTACTCTGAGATATTTTTCTAAATAAAATTCCCCCACGGTCAATATAATGAACAATAAGATATCAGTTATGTATTAAATAGCACAGTATGTCACATATTTAATAGTGCTGCGATTTATTCTTTTAGGGTTTAAGGCTGTGCAGACATATGTCAAACGAAAAAAGCTTGACTTTGTGAACCTCTCCTTTTTAATGTTTAATTCCATCCCTATTTTAAAGGAAATTTAATTTAAGAGAATTATATCCATATGATTCTAGTTCATTTGTATTTAACTGATCAATGTGTTGTTTTACAAGGCCTGTTTGATGTCAAGAAAGCAAAGTGAGTCCCTTTTCCCCCTAGGCTTTTGAAATGCATTTTTTCCCTTAGAAGTATTTGGCAGTTTATAAATCCCAACCACCAAAGACTGAACTTTGGTTTAAAATTCAGAGCATTAAAACATGAAACAACATCCAAAAGGGCACTAAATTTCAATTGAGAAAATAGCCTTTAATACAAAGATTTTTCATGTCTTTATGCTTATTTTAATTTTTAATTACAAAACCAATTTCTTAAGCAAAAGGAACATCTTAGTGAAAGAGAGGAAAGAGCGCTTCATGATATTAGAAAAAGAAGAGTAATAAATAATTCATTAGATAAGAGAACTTTGAAAAGTTGGTGTCTGTGCCTTTTTTAATTATCTCCTTCTATGAAGAGGAAACATGTTATATTGAGAAAAACATGGCTTTTGAAGTCAGACCGTTTATGCTACTCTCACTTAATGGACACATTAATTCAGAAAAGTTGCAACCTTTGTTTCATCACTTTAAAAAAACGTGGATAATATCACTAATCTCTGAATGTGCTCAGTAGTCTCCCTCCATTTCTTTCTCTTTATATGAGAGGTGGATCTGATTATTAACCTTTAATTTTGGAACCTTAGCGTCCTTCCTGATATACTTGACTTTGAGAAATGTTTTTTAAAATGTCTCTCACTTTTCTTTTTGGCAAAGGGAGTGTGGGCTTTGCCAAAATTCCTTATACATTTTTTGTGATGTATTAAACAGACTATCAATTTTGAAGCCAATCATGTTTCTTCCTTAATTTTGGTATCAGGTTGCTTAATGGTCAAGTTCACTTCAACTATTACTATTAACTACTCTAAAAAGACCCATAATCTCTGTTCTGTGTGCTGGCTTTTCCCCTCAGTGTTTATACCTCCTCTACCTCCATTCCCTTAAAGATTTAACCTTATTTTGAATAAGATGCATTCTGTAAGGTATGTTGGAGCAATGAGGGCAAAAGTACATTTGTGAATGAATATCCACACACATATAATACAAATGAAGCTAAAAACTACCTTGAGAATTTAAACTGTATTAGAGCAAAAGCAGAAAATTTAAGAAAGAGTGATCAGGCCCATGTTTATTTTGAATGCTAATATTAACTTCTCCCACCCATGATTTGCCAAAACAATTTTTTTAACCATACTTTAAAATGTGGCTTTAAAAAATGTTCATTTGGAAACATTTTCATAATCATTTAGCAAATTCTAAATCCATACTATTCAACGATGAAAGCAATTTGTCAGTGTAGGATTTCATTGGGAAACAGTCAGTGTAGGTTCACTGGGAAACAAATGTCTGAGGTGCCACTTGAGACAGTTGTAGGGGCAGGTGGAAAAAGCAGCCGTCTCTCTTTGGGATTCCATTTGCTCTTCTGTTTTTCTTCTTTCCATCCTTCCTTTGTACTTATCACATTGTCTGGTAGGTAGAAAGTAGAGAATGAGTCCTTCTTGAAAGAAAAATTGTGCTGATGAGAATATTCCACTTGTGAGTGCAGCTATAATTCTCAGAATCTAGGCCCCAGGCAAATATACATAAGAATATTTCATTTATTGGTCAGTGTTCTAGTGCTAAGAACCATAAGGGCAGTACTAAGAAGAGATACAGGATTTAATGGTGGATCAAAGTTAGAGATTCTAGAAGAAAGAGCAAGAAGCTGGCTGTTCCCTCTCTTCCAACACTTCTTGAATGAATTTTGTTATTGTGTACCTTCTGCAAGCATCTTTTGCATTTTAATGGACTTTTTAGTCTCCTCAGTTACCTTTCATATTCTCATTTCCTCCCAGTATTCCCTCCCCCTCCTGGCCTCACAGTGACTCCAGTGCTGGTGTCGATGTGTGTTTGGAATGAAGAAAGAGGTCATTTAATTGCTCCACTTAAGCCATTTACAACTGTTGCTATGTACTAGGACATATTCTAGAATACATAACTACAGTGGAATCTCTCTAAAGCAAATTCCATTGATACGACCTGTCGGATTAACCACTGCTCTCACTCCCTAGTTTACAGCATGCTAACCGGGGCCAATAGTACAGTGCAGCCAGCAGGTAGCAGGCGGCTCCTTCACAGAGCTGCGCCGCATCCTGCTTAGCCATTAAGTTGCTTTCTCCAGAAAGTACTTGATATTGCAATTGGGTTAAATAAACACATGACATCTAACTATGAAAAGAGGTTTATTTTAATTAATTTTAATAATTTGGGAAAAATCTCAAAACCAAGTCATTAAACAAACACATCCCCCCATCAAAACCAAACACCAAAAACTTCTTGAATTAGGATCACATAAAAGAACTAAAAGGTGCTTTAAGACAGCATCGTCTTTTATCAAAAGATCTTCTGTTTCAACCAAATGGTTTGCTTAACTGACTAACGCTCATCCCAACTGCGCTGGTGGAGAGACATGCTTTAAGTATTTGGTGAAGGAATGAAAATAATTGAATCGATTCGTTCATCCAAAACAATAGAACAGACGTTCAGCAAGCAGTGGGTTGTATCAGGGTCCATTTGCTCTCTTTGCAGCCTTAAGACAGTGTCTGATTAGACACAGCTTAACTGCACCCAGCCATGCATTTCTGAAGCCGTGAAAAATAAGTGTTCAGCTTAAATATTACTCTCCTCAAGAGATATTTCTAAATAGAAGGTTTTTAAATTTTTGGTTAAATTTTGGAGCTTTTTCTTTTTTGGTCTCAAAACAACTAGTTTTAACCCCTTCCTTACTCCCCAAATAGCAACCTGTTTTGATTTTTTTTTCCTGTCAAAGCCATCCCTGTAATCTAAAAGTCCTTGGAATCTTCCTTCCATCACCAACACCGCACTAGTGCATTGTTGGACTCACTGGGTGTGGGCTCTTCATCTGATGCCACCCACATCTTCCTTTCTTTTTTGTATTATTATTTTTATTTCTCGTTAAGCTTTTGGTTTTCCATTTGATGCAATTTATAGATACAAACATGATGGGACTGTGTCCAGAAACAACCCAACCAAAGAAAATGTCTGTGAAATAAGGGAACTGCAAACTGCATTGCTTTCCACCATTTGGTCATGTTCTTTCTGCACGTTTGAACTGGTCCTGTCCTTCTCACAGCCCTCTCCGCACTCGTAGGTTCTGCATAATGGCTCCTCAGAATGGAACATCTTTTTATCTTGGCCTCAGGACATCTGTTTAGCTCCACTGTTTACTGACCCTCTACCAGCTCTGCTTTTTGTTTTGTGTATCCCTACAGGTCAATGTATTCAGTATTAACTAATACTTTATTATTCACCATGCCCAACAAGATTTAACCTTGAGTTTGTGTCTGTGCTTACTAAGCTGGCCTCACCCCTGGATCTTTCAGTTGCAGCTATGTTTAATGCTCCACAGACACAGGCTGGCCCCATCGCTTTCTCTTTTCCAGCTTAGCTTCTAGACTCTTAGTCAGAAATATCCTTTTTATTCTGCTTTCCCAAGGTGTATGTTAAGAAAGAGCTTCCCTGAAGGAAATGGTAAACTTGAAGAAAGACCAATCACAAACTTTAGGGAAAAAGGAAAGATGCATCTCCATCAAGGTATATTATTAGTGGACTTTCCTAAGGATCCTGTATTATGCCTTTACAGTAAAGTTCTCTTTCTCTTCTTTCTGTCTCTGTGTGATCACATTTCCATACACATGATGAAAATTCTCCTCTGAGATACAGAATTTTTGTTCTGAATATCTCTTTGATATTTTTATTTGGATGTCTCACAGATCTCACATTTAATACATTCCAAATGGGACTCTTAATTTACCATAAAGATTAGTGTTCACTGATGTATTACCTTTTACAGTTAATGGCAAGACCATCCACACACCATTGTTCAGATCCCAAACAGGGTCCAAACCTAGTGTCCAAATCTCCCAGCTGGAATGCCACCCCTAGAGAGCAAGACTTCTATCTCTGCTGTTCATTTTCAAATTGTTAGTGCTTTTAAAAAAGGCTCACCATAAAGTAACTGCTCATGAATGATTTTGATGGAATGACCATTGCCAGCCGGGTCAAAGTTGCCACCACCTCCCCTGGATTTTGCCTTGGCCGTTCTGCCTTTCTTTCCCCACCGTCTTCACAGACCTTCTTCATGCATCCAACAAAATGAACTTTTCGACAGTAACAAGATATTTAACAGAAACCCTATGGACTTAGAAAGAGGCCACAAATTAACAAACAACCGCACAAAAAATAGGGACTCCATCTTGAAAAGAGTACCCAACAATTCAGTCTACTGGCTAAGGGTTTATGAAGCACTGCAGCACTGGCATTACTAATATCAATTTTTCCACCCAGCTCCCAATACCAAGTCTTATGAGTCAGGAGTTTGTCAAAGTAATGAGAGTTGCAATGACTTCTCTGCTGTGGAAAAAATATATATACATGTCCCAGGAACACAAAGTGAAGTTCTCTGCTAAACACCCACCATGCTTGTCCAGCTTTAGGAAATATAAGAAAGAGTTGGAGGTGGGGGGTCAGAGGGCAGGGCTGAAGTTTTAAGCAGGAAGTAGATTCCTCAGATATCTGAAAACTGTGGTGGACAAACTCTGCAGAGCCTTTAAAAGAAAAGTCAGCATTTGAAGACTTGCCTGCGAGAAGGCACCAGGGACACCAAATGTTTGTCAATGAAGCAGCAAGAAGTATAGGTCAATCAATTAAAAAATAAAGTCAAATTATTGTCAACAAGTCATCTTGCATAAAACTGCTGCTTTCCATGGCACTATTGCTTTTAGAACAATTCAACCCCCTGGCCAAGCCAGCAGCCCCAGGTCATGGGGATCTGAGCAATTTGTACGTCTAGCCGAGACTCTGCCTTCCAGCCAGATTGGCCTCTGGTTCTCAAATTCACCTCACAGGACTTTTGCCATACTTTTCCACTGACAGCATTGTTCTTTCTTGAATATTTGTATGGCTTGTTCTACTAGAATTTAGCTTAAGTTGGAACGTCTTGGATACTTTATGTGACAGTCTTGTCCCCAACTTGCACCCACATCAATTTTTCTGCCAAGCTCCCCCTGCATCACCATTTCCTGACAGAGAACATAGATTCAATAAATAGGTAATAAAATAAAATATTTGTGTACTTACCACTGTGAAGGAAAAGTTACCTGAATTTCATTTCTCTTAGAACTTTTTAACGGATTCTAATTTGCAGACTTCTTTCTTGGAAGAGATTAGCATTTCTGGTAAAAATGTTTGATTCTCTGATAGAGCTAAATGATTAAATGACATTATGACCTAATAGGAAATTAATGATTCACCCATCCAGCAGACTTTAGACTGACAAGGATAATTTACCTTTTTTTTCTTTTTTTTTGTCCCCAATCTAATTATCTCTCTCTCTTTTTCTTATAAAATGTCCTTTACAACAAGGGATCTAGAAGAAGGTATTTGTAGGTCTCTCCCCTTTCAGTGGGATACAACCTTTCACATGCACAAATAATTTTTTGAAAAATAATTGTGGACACCCTATAAAAAATGTGCTAGCATCATGAGAACCCATTCAGGTAAAGCATGGGTTGTAACTAAATGGGAAATGTCACAAGAAACTTATCCTGAGATTGCTGGTGTTCCTCCACCTTTTTCAACACTATGATTAACCAATAAGGTTTTTCTGATATTCTGAACACTCAGTTAATTCTGGAGCTCTTGTTTATCGTAAAGTTGTGGCCATTTTAAGAATGTTTGTCCTGTAAAATTTCAGACAATCCAAGTTATGAATTTGTACATATGGTTTTGGTCAGGAGGTAATCACTCCTCAGGGTAAGAGTCTACGAAAGTGGTTTAGCATTATGGGTCTCTAGCAGGAAAGCCAGAGAAAATATAATAGGCTTCTAGTCAGTGTTTTATGTCAGAAGAATTTCTGGATATTTGAGGAATCACGTGACTCATTATAGCTAGCCAGTGTTTTACATTTGAGAAATTCCATGATTGTTTAGAAGAATCCCATGCCTAGGATTATATTGTTACTTAGAATGACCAAAGCCTTAGAGAGACTGGAATGATTAATTATATTCAGAAATGTTTTTGCTAGGGGAAGTTATTTTGTTTTTTGCCTACAGGGTTTTGCTTATGTGTGTATTCGTGTCTGTTTTTGCAATTATCTTCAGCTAATTGTATAATTGGTTCAGCAGTTTTCCCTACGTCTGCTTGTCTCTGCAAGCAGTTACTTTTACTTTTTTATTTTTATGGCCGGTGATTCCTTGGGCAGTCTTATGTTAAGAAATAAGTTCCCTACCTGATTAATCGCTTAGAGAACTAGAATAAGAGTTCCAAAGATCTTTAGACTTTCCTTTTGTATATCCACTTTGACAAGGATTAGCTAACCATTTTCTTTTCTGTATAATGCCCCTATCAAAGAACATATTTGATCTGGCTGTGTTGGCAATTTTTTCTCTTGCCAATCTCAAAATGAAATATTTACCAGTGTCAGCCTTTTCCCTATGTGCCTAAAAGTGTAGTTGATTGATATGTGTTTTGTTTGTGTTTTCATTTGTGTATTTGTATGTTTTATATTGTGGATTACAAGCTCATCAAAGTCAGAGGCTAAAATTTATTCACTGTATATCTCTAAACCATGGTAGGTTTCCAATGTATGCTAATGGAATAATAAGGTCTGTCTTCTCCATACCTGTATCCTGTGTTTACCACAAATCTTACAATGTGAGAGGCAATTCGATTTTGAATGAAAGATCTACATTTAATTCTAGTTCAATCTGCCCATAAAAATGTCCTTGCTGATGTAATAACATAGCCAGCGACAATTTCCTACCTTAACCTTCTCCACCCCCTCTCTGACTATTAATGTGCTTACAGCAGTCTTTATGTTAGATTCCTAATGTTCATACTAGTTTTGATATCAGCTTCTCATGCTATTACTTTACAGACTAGAGTTACTTAATTGATTTGGCCTCCTGCTCAGCTCATGGTTCCATCTACCTCTGGTTTTGCCTTGTTAGATGTTTCCCATAACACCTCAACAAGCTAAGCCTTGAACTGGTGGGACCTGACATGGTCATAGTTTTACAGAGAGGACACAGGGGATAACAAAAGCATACGGGGTGACCAGCAGCTAACACAGAACCCGAGAAAAGTTTCCATGTAAACATTGACAAATATCCTAATTTTTTTTATGAGAATTGACTGTTTAAAAATTCATATTTTAAAAATTTTGAAAAGTTGTTAGTCCTGTAAAAACAGAAGTTTTAATTTGCCTTTAAAATAAATTAATCTTCTTATGCTCCAATCACCCAAATCCACTAAATAGACCTTATTTATATAAATGTGATGCACTAATATTATTTGGGAATGGAAAAAAAAGTTTGGGGTTGGGGCTGTTATTTCAAGGAGATAAAATGCTCTCTATAATAAAGTAGAAAAATGTTGGTTCCATTAGTGGCAGGCTTGCATTTCTGAAAAAATGTATTTATTTATTTTAGAAAATGTTTTTTATAGACCACACAGTCTCTAAAAATTATTTTCATTTTTAGGAAGTATATATATGTGCAATTGTTCTTTTGCCTCGTATTGCAGTAAAAATCTTAGAAAATGGTATTTATGGTTTTGGCATCCAATTCATCTTTCATTTGCTCTTAAAATATTTCCACTATTCCATCAAAACAACTCTCATCAAGGATAAGAAAACTCTCCACACAGCTAAAATCAATGGTTACTTGTCATTACTCAAATTATCAATAGCTGACCTCTCAGCAGCACTGCCACAGTTGATCATTCTCTGCAACTTGATATACTTTCTTTCCTTGACTTGAGGATATCAATTCTCTTCTGGCTTTACTTCTGTACCCCTGGTCACTCCTCAATCTCATTCACTGGCTCCTATTTTTCACCAACTTTCGATATTCAAATGTCTGAAGTCTTTCCTTGTGCTGTTTTAAAATCTCCTTTCTTGGGCAGTGCCTGTGGCTCAAGGAGTAGGGCGCCAGCCCCATATACCGGGAATAGCGGGTTCAAGTCTGGCCCTAGCCAAAACTGCAATAAATAAATAAATAAAAATAAAATATGCTTTCTCTTCCCTCTCATCTCCTGATAGTCTTGTTCAGTCTTGTGAGATTAAATACTCTCATGTGTCTTCTTCCAAGCTGCAAACTGTTTTCAGTTGCCTGAGAATCACACCATGGTATCTAATAGGGATGTGACAATTATCATGTCCAAAATGAATCTCCCAGTTAGTGACAATCATGCTTCCTAATGGTTCACCCAAAAAACCTTGAGTGATCCTGGAGTGCTCTTTATCTCAGATTAATTCACATCTGAGTTGTTCCAACATTGGAAATACTTATTTACTGCCCCTCCCCTGGCTCTGGCCTTCGCCATTTCTTGGTGAGATCACTGTAAGGGTTTCCAAGCTCCTCTTGGAACCTGCACCCTTACTCTTCTACAGTCCAGTCTCAACAGAACAATGAAAGTGATTCATGAAAACTCTATGTCAGATCATGTCTCTTCTCAAAATTTGGCATTTTATTTCACTGAAAATAAAAGTAAAAGGCCTAAAGTAGTTTGTATGTCCCACATCCTGTGACTCTTGTGTCTTTGAATGCATCTCCCTCCCTCTTCTTCATTTACAGTTACACTAAATTTCTGTTTTCCAGATACCTCAGGATCTTTATCTTTATCTTGCAAATCATATACCTACTTCTTGGAAAGCTCTGTGCCTAGGTATCCACTACTATGTCTCTCCTCAACTCTTCCAAATACTTTCTCAAAAATAATTTCACCAAATAAAGCCTAGTCTGACTATTCTATTTAAATTATATCAGTTTGAGCACTCCTTATACCCTGCTGTACTCTGCTCTGCTCTCTTTCCCTCCATACCACTCATTAGCTTCTAACAAGCTCAAACATTTATAGACGTTCACTGTCTTCCACTCAGCATCAGAATATGAGCTGGACTGCAGCTGATTATCTTTTTAAATTCTGTTCACTGCTACATCCCAAGAACTGGCAAAAGTTCTCACTGAGAATGTGCACTTCATGACTGTCTCTGATTAACTGTGAGAATGACATCTTTAGTCATTTTTCCATAGGAGCCATATTCCCAGCTTGTAATCCCCACTTTCTCTCTAAAAGTGGAAGAAGCCAATGAGAGAAATGAAAACATACTGACTTTTGATGTCCCATGTGTGAGGGTGTTATTCAAGAAAGAATCAGCCAGAATGGGGGAAGAATTAACCTTCTTCCCTTTATTATATTGATTATTTTTTCACATTCATAAAGCTTAATCACTATAAATGTATTTAAACTCATAAAGAATGCAAAGAATATAATTACATCAATACAATTGGCTTTTGGATTAAAAATTGTTTCCTATGCTTTTATTTTATATTTTCACTTATTTTTAATTGAAAAATAAAAATGGAAAATATTCATGGTATACATGAATATATTGAATATAATGTTGTATTGATGGTTGGAAGTGAGGTGACACCTCAGGATAATGGACACAGTTTCCCCTGGAGGCAGAAGGCACTGGTAACGTGTGAAGAGGGATATTTTTAGGGAACTTAGAAGTAAACTAGATTTCAACTAGAAGAGGTGAAAATCATTTTCATTGTCAAGTAGACAATTACTTCTTTTAGCAAGTACATGAGCTTAGACATTGGTTCTCAACCTTCCTAATGCCTCCTAATGCCTGGATTCTTTAATACAGTTCCTCATGTTGTTGTGACCCCCAACCATAAAATTATTTTCATTGCTACTTCATAACTATAATTTTGCTACTGTTATAAATCATGTAAATGTCTGATACGCAAGATGTATTTCCATTGTTACAAAGGGGTCATGACCCACAGGTTGATAACTGCTGGTAGAGATGGTCCTAAATTAAGAGCAAACAGACTGTGGCAAGCTAGGAACTAGACATGGAGGCCCTTATTAGTGGAGCATTGTAAAGAGCTTGGACTTTTGGAATAGGAGAATAACACTTCTAATAGTATCATTTGTAAATTTATCTGTGATGTCATTAAATTTTTAAAATGCATTAGATTGCAGGTAGATTTGTTAACTGTTTATATAACCTAGGTTTAGCTTTTACTATGTATAATATAGAGAGAAGAAGTTATGCCTACACTTGGGCCAAAGAAACATGGGGTAGAGCAACTGCAGCCTGAGAATCTGGATTAAGATGGTGTAGGTGACGTACTGCAGAGGACAAGCAGGACAGAGGTCTGCAACCAGACAACAGGCCACATACATA